TATTATACGTATGTATGTATACAAAATGTTTGTATCTACATACATACGAGTATTAATATTTTATAAGATAATTCATTGGTTGTTTTTATTTTCTTTAACATTTTGTATGGTTTGTTTTTGTTTAAAATTTCAAGGTTATTTTTAGCATAAAAAATTTCGAATTATTTTCTACTTTCCTTTTTTTGTTCCGTTAGAGTCAAAATCTAGCGGAAAAATAAAATATGAATGTCTTATTGTATATTGATTTACATACATTTCATGTACATACCTAGACATAGCAAAAATCTTCGTATGCATTCTTAAAGAAATTTGTTAAATATTGTTATAATTTCAAATTTAAAGTGAATTCAAAATAATATTTAATTTATAGCACAACAACAATAACGTTTAGTACTATATTTTTTGTTTCGGAACAGTAAGTAAACCGTGGGTTAAGCGTTGAAACAATTTAATAATACATATGTATGTAGTTGTTGCATTAGATGGAAACACATGCCTAGATTTTTTCTAGCTCCTATGCCATCAATTGTTGTACTATTTTTCCAACAATTTATCTCCCACTCTTAAGCAGTTTCTATCGCTTATTTGCTCCGGTCTCCGTTGCAATTTGTGAATGAATACATAGTATGTACAAAAACGATAATATTGGTATAAAATGTTACACTGCAATCAATATTATAATAAAAAAAACTGCAAAAATGATCAAAGCAAATCCGATGCAAAAATGATTAAAAAGACCAAATCAGACCGAAATACTCAAGTCATCGAAAATTTTTGGAAAAAACTTTACGATGACATGTGTATCAACAAACGTCAATTTGAATTTGCGTTATTATATTAGATTTGATTACTTTGAAATTAAAAAGAGAAATGTTTACTGCATTTTTTTTTAAATTTTGAGAAAATATCAAATGAATTGTCAAGGTATATAAAAAAATATGTACATATGTATATAAAAGCAAATATTAAAATTATGCACTAGGATTTAGATCGGTTATATTTAAGTCGAGAAAAAAATATCGGCGCGCATTTCTTTTACATACATATGTATAAGTATAAAACAAAAAAAATATTTGTTACATATTTGAACAGATGCTCTGGTTCTCTGATGTTAGACTAATTTATACTGTTTCATATTTAAGACCATTATACAAAACGGAGACAATTTTCAGATTGAAAGACATAAATTTCGGCATATTTGAAAAATAAATTCAAATTTGAATATCAGCTATATAGATTTTTTGTTAAATATTTTTTTCATACATAATATTTTAGTGACAGTATTATATAAATACATACATACTTTATTTTCTTTAAACCTCTTATTAGCACAAAGACAAAATAAACATTTTTTTCCAATTCACAGAATAAAACTATGAGCTGATACTAAAAAAAATATTTAGAACATTTGTTCAAATAAAATACCGAATGCCAAGCTCTATAGCTTAATATTCTTTTGGTAATAAAGTAGATAAGTAGAAATTCGCAAAAACTTTCCTGGGGTAATTTTAATCATATTTTATGATGTCACAAAAAATTTTTACAATGCCTTATAATTTTAGTGATGAGAATTCATAAAAGGATAAAAATAATTTTTCAATTATAAAATTTTGTGTCTCAAGGAGATCTGCTAATATTACCCCCTTTTTAGGTGATGTCGTTGCGATATACTTTTAATAAGCCAGCAACTTTAAATTTCATTCAAAAAATTTCATTTAAAAAAATTTGTTTATGTGTATAAAAATTTCAAAATTTGTTTACATAAATCCCTTTAACACAATTTAACCCTTAAATGTGTATTTTTAATCTTGGGTTTTCTTTCTGAACATGATATCTACATTTTTTGACAAAAAAAGTTGTGAATGCAGTATTACTTAAAATTTTAGGCGTTTTGTATAATGCAAGAAAAAAATTATTTTTTCAGTAGTTTAAAAAACTAACTAACCCATTAATATTTGTTTGTTCATTCTAGTTCCTCACCTAGAGACGGAATCAGTGAAAGCAGATGTTCACAAACTGTATGGAACTCATATATTATATCATAATTTTTTATTTAGTTTAATTTCGATTTGAAAAAAAAATATTTTTTGGACAACTTTTAGTCAATTTTAGTGTAAATTTCATTTTTGTGCAAAAATCTAGTAAGCACGTTATGTATTAAGTGTATTATGTTCATACGTATGTATGTTTTGATATCTGCAAAATGAAGTTTAGAACTTTGAAATTATTAATTTTTAAGCTTTAAAAATATGCGTTCACAGTTTTTGGAAAATATTTGACATACATGAAGTACATATTTTTTCATCAAATTATGTACGTCAAATTCATTGTTCATTATTCTGTTGACAAAGAATTTGAAGAATAAATAATCCCGAATTTATTTACAAGCAAGTGTAAGCAAAAATCATGCTTAATTTCATTATTTTTTCAGTAACAACATTTATTAACCTAAACGTCCTAAATCAATAATATTAATGAAATTTTAAACATCTTATGTATATAAATATATTATATAAATATAGTATGTATGTATATAAGAATGTCCACTCAAAATTGATTTAAATATACAATAATTTGAAAAAACTCACCATTAAAAAATTCTCTCAAGTAGGTATTTGAGAAATGTTTTGTTGAAAATAGTATATATATATATATATATATATATATATAGTAGTTAGTGTTTTGTAGTATGTTGCAAGCAAGCGGTGTTTCCCCTAAATATTATACAAAAGAAGGAGAGAGAAAAAAAATTTATCAACACATTTTGTTATTATTTCAATAAATAAAAATTTTTAATATTATGTATGTATAAATCATAAGTAGTATGTCACTTGTATAAATTCATTTATCACACGTCATTTGGGAATTGTGATACAGATATTTATATTATGAGTATTACAGAGAAAACTATGTGAGTCTGTATATAAAACTACAAAACAGCTTCGTTAAGCTTTGTCAGTAACTGAAAACATCAAAAGTAGCAAACTAAAAATACGCATAAATCAAAAATTTAAAAATTATTCATCTTTCAAAACTAATGCAATGGCAACTTCAATTCTGAACATTTTTATATCCCATAGCCAAATCCTATTTAAGACATTTTTATTTTGCAAAATGTACGTATATATACTCTAGCAGTCTAGTACAATACAAAACAAAACTACAAAAATAGTAAATTCTGAAAACAGAGAAATCCTGTCAGCGAATTCCTGGGTTAGCGAAATCCTGCCTTGTCGACTTTACATGTAAAACCGTTGAATGGTTATCACACATAGGAAAATTATAATTATCTTAAATTAGTGTAAAAATTTGCTTTCTGTGGAATATTCACAGGTATAACAAACTACATTTAACAAGTATTTGCCGAAATGTTGCAAATACACCAAGGCCAAATATAATTAAAATCTATGCAACGCACGTTTAATTTGTTACATAATAATTAATAAAAGTTAGAAATTATAGGTATTATATATGTATTTATTGTCTTTAAATTTAAATTAAATACTATGATTTTATTTATGAAACATCTAATAAAACTAAAATATAAAATAATTTTCTATTTAAAAAGTAAAATATTAATTACAAACGATAAAAAAAAAATTAAGTTTTCATTGTTAAGTTTGTTTTTATATTACAAAATATAATTTTATAATAAATATAATTATTTAATAAAGTAATACACTCATGTTGTTATCAATTTAAGTAGTTAAAGAGCTACTAATGTAAGCAGTTGAAATTTTCAGCGCATGTGAACTTTATCATAATGTACGAACAGTTCAGAATGAGAGCAGCTGATTCAATTTATAAAACGTGAATAATAAATAATAAAAACAACAAAAAATATATTAAAGAAAGAATTATTATTTATCTGCACACATATGCGATACCAAATGAAAAAAGTATTTAAAAAAAATGATGTTGTAAATGAGAAAAGCATCTGCAGCAAATATAAAAATAATGTATGTATTTTTTATGAACATTTGTATATACCTACCTATTTGTTAACAATATTATTACAATGGATACAGAATATATCTTCAAATACCAGTTTTATTATTTAAAGAATATTATGTACACACACATATTTAATGTACAAAAAAATGTACCTACTGCATAATACACTGCAGATCATAATTAAACTATTAATATTAGATTTTATATACATTTATTCATAAGCTGAGCTCGTGTTAAAACTCTCGGGGAGTGAGTCATTAGAGTTTTTTGACCAATTGATGTTAAGGTGGGCTCGGATGTCTAAAGATAGTTGTGCAGGGTTAGTTCTATATGAGTTGTGAAGAAAAGTCAGACATTGATTACTATGTAATAAAGGAATACTGACATATTTAAAAAAATACATATAATATATTATAAATATAAATATATTACAATACATTATTATTAAAACCTTCACTATATTAATATATTTGTTATTAAACACTTTGTCTCGTGTCGAACATTTTGTAAATTTCAAAAACTATAGCAATATTCTTCTGATTTTCTTTGCAGTTACATAAAAATAATTGGGCTGTTGCATTGTTTTCCGTAAATTTTTGTGTTTGCAACAGATTATGAAATCAAGATTGACGCGTCAAAAAGGTTACGAAAAGTTATTTTTGACGAACGTCAAATTGTTGGCAACCATAAAAAGTACCTAACTTGAATATGTAATACTATTTTTTATAGCATGTTAAACAATTGAATATATAAATTTAAAAATTTTCTTAACAATGACTTAGCATGTAAGTATATATGTATAAATACCCAATTTTTCTCAATGGAAAAAAATTTAAAATTCGATATGAAAATTATATTCAAAACAAAATATTTTCAATATAAATAATTGTATATGTATGTACGTATGAATGTGTAAAAACAGCGTTTTTAGTTGAATTAATAAACATTTATCTAAATTGTAAACATGACGTGTGTGTACAATCAGAAGTGATTATTATTTTTTATATAAAAAGAATTATAAAATAAATTTAATAAAAAACACTTACCACACTAAAATTTGATTGAGAATTTAAATGTCCATCTCTTTTTATATCTTTTTTTCATTCGTTCCTATTTTTATTCCAATTCAATGGTTGGCAATATTATTACGGTCTACGTTATAATGCTTTCTCTCCTGTCTAAATTAAAAATATAACATTTGTTTATAAAAAATACTTTATACACGTATAAAATATATTTTGTACTGTTTATGTGTCTAAATATACATTTAAAAAAAAATAAGATTTTATATCAGAATATGTATATACATACACATATATTCGTACAAAGAAACACATGTGTACATAAGTATATACATACATATATCAGATATCTAATAAATGAAAATAATACATAAATACATATATCACAATATGATCACATGTGTATATTTTTGAAACTGCATATAGTTTTTAGCCCTGCATATAGTATATACATACATACATATGTATGTGTATATATGCAAGCAAAAAATATATTTTGTATGGCAGCGTTTTATTTATACCTAGTTGAACAAATTAAGCATTTACTATTAAACTAAATTAATAAAAGAATAATAATAGAACACAACATTAAATATATAGGTAACATGTCTTGTTATGTCTTAACACTTAGGAACTGTAAGCAGTCTCCCGGTAAAAATTTTAAAAATTGTTATTATTCTTTTTCGGGCATTAAATATTTTTGCTTTTCCTAATAGTTTAAGGGTAGTATGTTCACTATTAGATTTTCAAGTGATAGGATATATATTACGGTTCCCTGACATCTCATCATACGAGACATTTCATCATTGTAACATTTCATCATTATAGCAATTCATCATTGCACATTTCAACTTTATAGCAATTCATCATTATTCTATTTCATCATCATAACATTTCATCATTGCATAAAGTGCATTTTGCAAACATAAGTACATGTAGGTGTAATTAAGTAATTAACATACTGAGCAATTTTGGCAACATGTTGAAGCAGTTTGCAGTTTTGTTGCACAGTGCAACTAATGGAACAAAATCTTAAGAGGATTAGGATGTAAAGTAAATTTGTACAGGTAATTAAATTAAAGGACATATTGGTTTCACCAATTTTGGTTATTTATCCTTTTTGCCACGTAAACTTACCAATGTGCCATAGTGACCAAAGCATTTAAATTAACTTTTACTTTTAAATTAAAAAAGAATTGTCTAGATTAATTATACTATAGCTTATTATTATATAAATTTAGCTTTAATATCACTTTACCTGAAAGAGCTCTATAAGAGATGTTGTAAGTTCAATAGTCAGCTAAGAATGAGGGCACTGCTGCTGTGCACCGAGGGTATATCAAATCATAATCTGATAAGAAATTTCTTTGAAAGGCCAGTTTATTTATGATATTAAAATCACAGGCATCTTAGTGATGAAATGTTATGGTGATGATATACAATAATGATGAATTGCTATAATGTTGAAATGTGCAATGATGAATTGCTATAATGATGAAATGTTACAATGATGAAATGTTACAATGATGAAATGTCTCGTATGATGAGGTGTCTGGTCACCATATATTACAAGGAAAAGTATTCAAAGGTGAGTTAAAAGTAAAAAGTTAATTGTCACACGGACAAGTTAACCGTTCTTTAGCTAATTATAATGTAACATTAAGCAACATACTTAATATCATTATTCCAGACCTTAATTTTTTGAACAATTTCAATAATTAAAATTTATTTTTTTACAGTAATAAAAGTATTTTTTGATTTTTATCTTTAAGTTTTAAAGTTTTTCTAGACATTGCTTGATTATTAATTATTATTAAAATATTTGATTATATACATTATTACACAAACAAATATTTCATTTATATTTTATAAAATTAAATTTATATAATATATTTAAATTAAATCATATATTTATATGATATATATATGATTCAGGTATATACATATATTCATAATCTTATTTTATTATTAGAATAGCATACAGAAGAATTAATGAAAAATGGAGAAATGTGCTAAAATAAACAAATTTGTATGTGTACAAGTTTTCCTATAGTAGCAAAAATATGCACCTTTACCGTAATAATTGCAGATCGGAATTATTATTATTTAATTTATTAACATCGTATTAATGTTTGATAATTACATATAATACTACCTAAAATTTTTCTTCTATAAACTTAATATATGTTTCCACTTGCTTTTGGATGTATATAAATACATATAAAATGCGTATAAATAAATAGTACGAAGAAAAAGTAATATACATATGTATATAAATATCTTTATCTATACTATAAATACTTTCTTGCTTCCTTAGGTGAGACTTAATTAATTTACTTATTTGTAAAAATTAAATATTAATTATCCGATAGGCAGCTGTATGCCCTTTCAATTTATTTGTATAGTACATAAGAAATGTTTACAAATTGCATACACATAAAAAGTTAGATAAATATAATATTATGTTTTTCTTGAAGCAGATAATATATTATCTAATATGATTTTATAGTTTGTATACACAGATTGTGTATTTAGATGTACATGCTATATACTCGTACTATATAACTGTTACTATTTTTGAATTCATAAACGTCAAATACACCTATCATACACCTATCCATCTATCAAGTTTCTATTTTATATAAATATATATGTATGTGTGCAATTGTACTAATTAAAGCATTAAGAACATTCCGTTTTGCTCGTCTTATACAATATTGCTTAATATGAATTGACAAAATATATAATTCTTGGTGACAGAGTTGAAATTTTTACTTGAAAGAAATTGAGTGAGACTAGAATTTTCAGTATAATTACTGAAAAAAAAAAAAACTAGTCGAAATTTTTCAAGCAGCAAAAATCAATTACAAGTAAATATTACAATTTTAAATAGAAATTAAAAATGTTTCGTAATTAAAAGAAATTCATCTAGGGAAAAACGAACTCGTTTATGTCACCTTATATACATAAATATACCCCCAATGATATCAGATTACTTAAAAATGACTGCTCTCATCAATATTATCGCTCCGTTTGTTCCCGGTTTGTTATATCGCAAAATGTATTCGTATTGTCAAGCATTCTGTTCATTCTGTTTGGTAGATAAAAAATTATACCGAATGTATGTATATTTCGGCCTATCGTATACCAAATCAAATATTTTGAAAGTAGAACGTTTCTTTTGAAGGAAGGTTTTATTGGAAATAATTTACGTTGCTTTTTTTAAAAATATAACCAAAACGTTAATCGTAGAACAAGTGTACTTTCAAGTATATAGAATTCGTCTGATAATAAAAACATACTTACATATGTAACATACATACATACATATTTTTACTATTGCTTTTGTTTTACAATTTGCATACATACATACATACATATTTTTATTTTGCTTTTACTGAATTTGGTTTTCGATTTCCCTAAACAAGGAAATTCTGTTATTAATAAAATTGATGTACTTATGCATTTGCACACGTAACATTATATCCATACATACTTAAATATCTATTAATTTATATATTTTTGCACAGCAAACATTACGATAATGTTGAAATCTATGTTATATATATGTTACATTCAATAAATTCAATATACATACATATGTATACCTGAAGAATGAAGATACACATTGTATCACTTACATACATACATATGTACCTATAAGTCTGAATATTTAATAAATATATGTATGTATATACATAATAATGTTGGACTAAGAAAAGCGAAAACACTTTTTTTAATAAATAAAGAGGAAAAGAGTAATTCGTAACAGAATTAAATAAGTATGTATGTAAAATTATATAATGTGAAAAATTATATTAAATACATAGCGTAAGTATGCATAATCATTATGTACCTTTGCTAATTCACATATGTACGTATGTTTAATATAATTTCATATTACTAAGTACCTATCTTATATAAGTATGATTTTAGACGCTGTATGTAATATTCAGGTATGTATGTCTATGCCCAAAGATAAACATACATAGGGTGGACACCTCAGTAGTCAATCAAATAAGAATCTTTCTGCTTGTTTCAAATACATAATATGTACATAACAAGTACATAGATTTCACTCAAATTTCAATCAGCTTTGAATAACAGTGCTTTAATTTATAATAAAAGATACAGTTTAAATAATTTAAATACATAGATGTATGTACATATGTATGTATGTATGTAGATGTTTTCCTTAATTTTTTTATTACTTTTTATCCTTTATTCAGATAAGTACTTAAAATTTGAATAAAAGATTAACCAAAAAATGAAAAATGCACTCAAAACCATACCATAATGGTCGAGTTAGGGGAAATTCGAATTTTTTACAAAGCTAGTAATACTTATAAAAACTAATATACATTGGTATTGAATATGTGTATGTACATTGAACTGTATGCTTCACTTAACATTTTTACTTGAACTAAATGCTTTCTTAGCTGCCGTTCAGCACAAATCCAGCACTACAATGAAATATCGTAATATGTCAATACTTATTTATCCAATAAAATTGTGAAATTTTTGGACTTCAAATGATAAACTGACTACTAATTGAGTAGCAGCCAACATAATGCACCTACCCTATTTAAAAGTTTGCATGCATACTTAACGTATGTATGTATATGTATGTTGTTTAAAGTATTAAGCGTATTAAGAAAACTTTGGTTTGGACAAATCATAGAAAAAGGTCAAAGAAAGCACAATAAATTGTATTGCTAGCCAGCAATAAATTTGGATACAATTAAACAATTTTTATAGCCATAACAAACTTAACTGTTTATATCGAAATTTTATAAATAACATAACGAATATAAATAACATGCATTTTATCTGTGTAGTACATAAAATGTGTTAGCAAATTGTAGTATTGTTGGTGTGTATATACATTGTGTACGTATTTATGTATAAATTATGTATTTATATTTGCTTACCGTATTTTGTTAACTGGTTTTTAATGTCTCTTCTTTGTTTTCTTTTGAGGTTGTTCAAACGAAAACAGATAAAAAAGACACAATTTACATGCATAGATAAAGTGTGTATGTGCACTATATTTTTAGATATTATGTATTTATAAGTATGGACAGATTTTATATTTTATTCATATTAATGTAGTATATCTTTATATTACGCTTTATATATAGTACATACGGGTACACATGTAATTAAAATCATACTTTCTATAGTTTTTATAGTAGCAACTAAAGCTAGAAATTGCTATTGACTACAAAAACAATTTTGAATAATAAATTTTATAATGATTGTAAACGATTATAAAAATAGTGACAAACTATATTATCAATTAGATAACAAATTTTTAATAAATAATTAAAAAATTAAAAATATCCGACATTTTTCATATAAAAATATTGAGACATCTATTTATACCCGCATGAATGTGTGATCGAAGGATATTATAAATTGACAACCCTGCATGTAACGCTAAAAAATAGATGTATGAGCTATAGACGTAAAAATATGTGTATTTTTGATGAGTGTCGAATTCTGTGTCGATTTAGCAAAGTATGTTTCTATGTCCGTCCTTCGTCCATTCAGCGATAACTCAAATTATTCAGTGAAGTTCATCAAATTTTCACAAATGATTTATACAATATAATTTCAGAAGTCATATTTCAAATGGATTTGGTCGAGGTAGTGGTTCGGGTAGCTGCCACACCACTTCCAAAGTTATTTGACTATAAATCAGAAGATAAACTATTAAAACTTTACACAAGCATATATGTATAGCTTTAAGGCTATTCTTATGTTGCGGTAGCTGACATAAAATTCCAATAGTTATTCGGCCAAATATTGTGAAAACAATTTAATAATAGTAAAATGACCATTATGTTCGTCAAAAGAGTTCCTAGCATTATCTTATTTTGGTTCAAATCTAGTAATTTTTAAACATTTAAAGTCAACTGTCAACTCTACCTATTCTAATTTTATTTAAAACTTTCATTTATATACAACGATGTTTCATTATTAAATCCGAATCTGTATGAGTAAATTAAGACTTGGGTTTAGTAATTAGAATGTTTAGTTTAATTTAAGCCATTTAAATACTTAACCACCAAATATGTACATATGTGTATGTGTAAAGTAAAATCTTTCAACTTTTTCGAAGAATCTCGAAAAATGCTATTCAGTTCAGCAAAAATTAATACTCTTAAACGTAATTTTTTTTCAAACCATCAAAATTTTATCCAACATTTTACAAAAATTTTCACTTCAAAATGGTTGCATTATTTCATAATTCAGCTTGTAACTTATATTTACTGAATTCTTTACTGATGCCGTACTACAGCAATTTTGAAGTGAGAGGAGTTTGTAAGTGGAAAAATTAGTTTTAAGTTAATAGGTATATGAGGTAAAAGGATAGCCCGCAATTAAAATATACACATACATACGTATGCACATGAATTATTAAGTATATGTACTTATACGATATGCGAATACTGTTTAACTCAGATAAAACTAAAGATGCGTTAATTAAAATTTTTTTTAGGATAAAATAAGCAATATTGCAATAACAATGCATCGTGAAAGTTTAAGTTTTTTTTCTACAATACGGAATACAGACATTGTTATGAAAATGTATACGTATAGTCAAAAACAAAGTTTTACAACTTGTCAGCTTGTAAACACCACATGCAGGTATCTAATTAAATTTTGATAGAAAAAAATGTCAGTTTTCTTTTTGGAATTTTGTTTTTTTGCAAAATTGGTGGGTACTTACTCATATGTATATGTTCTTTGTAATTGTTTTATGAATATTCCGAAAATCGATAACCGCATCGATATACAATTCAGCAATATTGACATTTATAAACTTAATTCTGCATTAATAAAGAATAATTACCTTTCCGATCTTAGGTTTATGCTACCTTCATTTAAGAAAAGCAATTTCGTGAAAAACTAAAAAGATGGCTTGAATACATTTTTTAACTTTTAAAACGTACAATGTTATTTAATAAATTCTGTTAATTTGGTACACCTTACCTAAATATTACTTAAATATGCTTAACCTAAAATTCAAATAGAATGAATTGTGTTTCCAACTTTAAATTTTATAATAACGTAAATTAAACAAAATATTTTATAGTTGAATATGAATGTCAGTACCTATCTGGATACCTACTTAACCTATCTGGAGAATCTGGATCTGGATACCTATTGTATAAGTGTAAATTATAAATATAGCAGTAATGGGATAAGTATGTATGTATGTACATATTAACATATTTAGGAAACAAACAACCTACATATTTGATATAAACTTTATGCTACATATATAAGTGTATAGGAGTTTATATAAATTTAAAAAGTTTATGTTGGCAGGTATACTTAGGTAGGTCTTAAATTGCAAACCACTGAGTGTAAATTCTATACATACTCAATTTTTATTTGTTTTTATATATGGATGTATGTATATATATATGTAAATCGTTAGAATTCAATAAAATAACTTTTACTTTAACTTTATTTAATTTTAAATGATCTCATAATTCATATTTTATTTGATTTTTTTGGAAACCGAAAATTGTGGATTTCTCATCATCAAACCCTTTTTTAATAAAATTTTGTGTTTTTTATTTTAATATACAGGTTTTTAATAAATATTATTGGCATACAAACCCAAACCCTACCTACATACATACATACATTATATTATACACTTTAAAACCAAGTAGGTACCCAAGTGTTTAATACTTTACGTAAATTTCTCTAAAACAAATAGTATCGTAATAATTTTTGTTCTGATCTTTTTTCCTTTTCAAACATTAAAGCATTATGGTTAGAAGTTGAAAATTTTAAGCTGTTGTATAATCAAAAAATATATTAATGTTGTCGGTCAGCTGATCGTTTTATTCCTTTTAGTTTAGGATAACATTATTCATAAATAATTTTAAAAAACAATTAAGTACCTATGTATGTATAGTATGTAAGTACATTATGTACATATTTTTCATTATATCCAATTCTTTTTTTCTATTTCATAATGTCGGGTCAAGCTAGCCTCTCCAACTTATATTTTTCAATGAGCAAAAAGCAAAAAAAAAATATCGCGCAATAAAGTTTCCATTAAAATATCAAATTATAATTAATTCTTAATATTGTATAATATATAATTAAAATTTTATTACTTTTAGAAAATTTAACTACCTCAAACAAAATGCTAGTAACTCCACAATGTATGTTTTTTTTTCCGGTTGCAAAAGATTTTTATTTAAGTAATAATTTTGTAAATAAGATACACAAAATTTAATAACAATTCTTAACTTGAAATCTTCCCATTTTTTCGAGCTACAAAATATCGATTTTTATTGAAATACATTTTTAATTCCTAATTTTGATATATAAAATTTATTTTAATTTATTTTGTTCGAATATTTGACACTAATCACTAATTTTTTTTCTATTTTTTTTTTATTCTCGTCATTTACTCATGTCACAGTTCACAGTAATACACACTGATACACATATTTTTGATTGGATACATAACATATGTAGTTATGTACTAACACCTCTTCATGAATTCAAGTATTTTTTGGTTTTTTATACATCTCTCTACTCTACTACATTACATCTGTATTCTTTACTACATTTACTTGTAATATTTTAAAATGTATGAAAAATTTACAATGCACTAGTGTTCTCTTCTTGTTCTGTTTAGAGAATGTTAACGTTTTCTTCAATTTTGCCTAATATGTATGGACTTGTAATACCAAATTTTTTTTTTTAAATTTCCAATAATTTAAGTGAATAAATATTTTAATATGTTATATTTCTTAATATTTTCATGAAATAAGAACACATATTCAAAAATTTTCAAAAAGTTTAATTATGAGCATTAAACAAACTCATAATGCCAATGCACAGGGCAAATTTTTCACATTTACCGCATTTATATGGTAAAAACAAGCGAATTTTAAGCCTATTTTAATAAACGTTAATATGAAGCAGGCTTTGCTCAACGTAATCAAAAAATTATATGAAGCAGGTTTCACTCAAGGTAGTCAAAAAATTTTGACGAAAAGCTTAAAAATGACAGATAATAATTTTTGATCATAAACAAGATTTATGTTCGTTGTCATAAATCGATGTTGTATTTTTATTTTTACATTTATTAGTAGGTATATATTATCTTTCAAGCTGACATATTAAAAATGTAGCTTGAGTTTCGAACTGATATGAAGTTGTGTATCACATAAATGAGGTAATTGATACCTAGTCAAACCGTTGAAAAGTTTGAAATTCATACGAAAGTTGATAGAAAAAAATAATTTGAAATTTGTATTTTAAAAATGCATACTAACTTTTTAAAATGATTATTTCATTATATTTTGTGTATTTAAAAAAGCCAAAATACCTAAAATATTGAACATTTTGAGAAAATAATGTAATATGAACTAGGCAAAAATACTGAATTCAATTTCTTTACTATCTTATTGCTAACTTTTTTTGCGTGAAACGGAAACACTTATACAAATGTGTGTTTATATTTTTATTTCAAAAAGCTAATGAAAATCAACAAAAAGAATTTTTTCTTTCACTATCACAAAAATTCGAGAAACTAGCGCCAAAGCGGTATTTTAAAGAACTACAAAACAAGAAGAAAAAAAAATATTGCCTTTACATTCAATTTCTATACTTCACATTGGCATTCAATAAAGAAATGCAAATGGTGAAACAACGCGTATTAATAAACGGTTAGTGCTGAAATAAAATAAAAAATATTTTTGTGAAATTTTAATAATATCGTTTATTGAACACAGTAATTTAAAGTGCTATAGTTAATTAATTAATTTCAAAATGGATATTAAGGTATCAGAAAAAGAAGAAAATGTAAATTTAACTTACATTAATAATGAATTCACACCCCGTATGCAGCAAACAAAATTGGATACTGCTGGGATCACAACTACATCAAATATATGTGCTAGAGTGACGCCGTTAGACAAAAAATGTTTCGAACATGAAAATGACGATGGCGCTAGTTGTATCGAAAAAAAATTTACTGACGATGAAAGGAAAGATTCTGGTTGTAGTTCAATGGTGGGAGGACAAACTATTTCTGAATCTGTTAAAGATGGAAATTCTAAGTTATATAAATCTGGTCGAAAAGGTAATTGCAACCGAAAAAATAAAAGAAAACGGAGACGTGGCAAACAAAAAACTAATTCAAAACCTTTTAAGAAGGAGAATTGGAAATTTCAAATGCCACAACGTTATAGATCGAACTCAAATCCAACCAATCTAGCTAATATGACGAACGTTTTGAGAAAACAAATTCAACGGCAGAGATCTATTGTTCCGTATAATACAAATAAATTTCTAATGGAAGAACATCTAGCTGAAGTTCCAAATGCTCTATTAACTCCAAATGGAAGAACTAGGGACTCAAGTTTTTCCGTTGATTCAGAGGATAATTATTTTTTTTCTTTACCGGAGGACGAGGAAGATTTTTTGACAAAAGAATTTTCAAATGTATATGAAAGAGCAAGAGTTGAAAGGCTTGAAAATATGAACAAGCAACAATTAATTGAAGAATGCCTTCAAATGGAAGACCGATGTTCACAAATAGATTCTAAACAACATGAAAAATACTGTGCGGAGTTTATGAGTAAGATTAAGTTTCTTGAAGAAAAAATTCAACGCTTAAATAGGGAAAATAATGGTACGTAGATACTAAACAAACATGGGTTATACATAGATGTTATTTTACATAGAATTGCTTCTTTTCTATTTAATAATGATAAGTTACTAGTGATTCATATTACAAAACTAAAATTTTTTTATATTTCTTTTAGAACTACGACGTTTGTTGGAACATTCAAATGATTTAGATGATACTACCAAATTATCGCACAAAAGCAATAAATCAGGCAACAGAATGTGCTCTAGTGAAGATAGTGAAAGTGATAGTTCTAGTAGTGGTAGTAGTAGTAGTGGCAGTTGCAGTTCATCATGTAGTACTTCTAGTATAAGTGATTTTAGTCCGCCATCTTCTCCCTCAAGCCCAAAAACACATTCAAAAGAACTTAAAAATGGATCACAGAATATGGACACTGATGAGCAAATTGATAACAAACACCAAGAAAATACTGTTCAATCTGAGGAAATATCTGTAGTTCCCAACCAAATACAGCAAGATTTGCAAATGCAAACCCAGTTAAGCACTCAAAACAGTGCTGATCAAAATCAGTTATCATTAAATGTTAATGGAGATAATTCCCAAAGCGTTTATAATGGTACAGATTTACATCACAATGATAATAATGAAAAAAATTAATTTTATTGAAAAAAATAAGAATAAAGTTTTCACTTTATTCATAACGTGTTTTGCGTAAATTATATTACACTTTAATATAGCCATCAATAAAAATAAAACATTTTCTTGTAGCCAAAATAATTATTAGTGTCATTTGGATCACAATAATTGTATGTTATTGGTTTAACTATAAAATTTTATGTTTTTCATATTTTCAAAAATTTAATCATCAGAAAAATATTAATTTTAACATATTGTAAGACCTCTAGTCGCAGTTTTAAATAAAATTTGAAATTATTTAATAATTTTTATTCTTTTAATAAAAAAATGTATCTTTGAAAAGATATACGTAGCATTATGTTTTTAGTTCAAATATATGATAGATAATCTTGCAAAACAATTTGAACGAAACAATATAGGTATCTTTTGAAAAGAGTTTATAAACCTTATAAAGGTAATAAACATTTAAAAAAAAAACATTAAAAATTAAAAATTTAAATTTATAAATAATTATAAACAATTTAAAAATTGTATTTAAATTTTGCTATCAATAAATAAAATTTTAACATTTATGAAATTAAACAAGAAAATAAGAAATTTGATATGCTTTTATAAAAAACAAATGCTTTTTAATAAAAAAAAATAATGAAATTTGCAACAGTAATCCATTTTAGAACAAAATAAGAAACAATTACAATATATTTTCGCACAAAATTTTAAAAATTTATGCAACTATTGTGCTTTCAAAAATTTTTGTTAATAAAAATTCAAATAAAAATAGAAAACTTATTTAGTATATTTTTTTAAAGTAAAGGTTCATATGAAAAACAATATTAATTTGAACATTTATAAAATGATACATTTTAAAACATTTAGTATCTTATAATTAATTTTTTTTTTTCTTTATATAAAGCTTAAAAATTTTTATTGATCTATTTTGAAAAAAAAAAAAGAAAATATCAATTTAAATAATTTTAGTTATTATTGATATTAAATAATATAATTAATTTTAAGTAACTTTTTTAAATTTAACACGGCGAAGTTATTTTTACATTAAATACTAAAAGTACACAAAAATTATATTTACATGCCAGTTAGTTTTAATGTTTCTTAAAAATTTTGTAAAGTCCATTTTGAAATAATGGTAAAAACGATCATTTTTATAGAAACCTCTTATTATCAATTATTAAAATTTTCTTAAAAATTCTAAATTTTAAAGCTGCATAAATTTTTAAATTTTAAAACACAATTTATTTTTATTAGAATTAAGCGATATTGTATGTATTTGTAAAATTCGCCCTGTAATTTCTGCATCAAAAATAATATTTGTTTTAATTTTTAAAACAAAACAAATCAAATTGTGATATTTACAATTTATATTTACACACATAAAATTACATAAAAAAAAAGAAAACAAAAAAAAATTAAAAAAAATTAAAATTGATTGCATTATTATTAATCGTAATTAATTAAAGAATACAGAAATTTTAGGGCAGAAGATTCTGTTTTACAAACAGTTCCATTTCTCATTATTACAATATTTTATTAATTTTTTTTGTTTTACTATACTTATTTATTTGATTTATATCTGAGCAGTTATGTTATATATACATATATATATATACATATATATATATATATATATATTTAGTATATTAACAAATATATTAATTATACGTATTAATTATACGTTTTATCTAAACTCAAATTTTGATTATATTATATTAAAGTTTCTAAAAAAAGCTTCAAAGATTGTAAATTTCCATGAATTAGACTTTTTTGTTTGCAATCTAATGACCCACAATTTAGGATTAAATTCTATAGATTTCAAAAAAATTTGCGTTCTGTATGGACACGATAATCAAATGAACTATTATTCTGTTCTTATAAAGTTCTATATTCAGTTCAGGTTTCAGTTCTTATAAATATTATAATTCAAATGTTTTATTAACAATAATTAATTTGTAATTTCAATAATTACTGCCAAAATATAAATTTATAGTTTACAAAAATAAAAGAAAAAATTGCATCACAAATAATGGTGCAATAAACTTTATCATGTAGAATCAATTAATTAACTGAATTCTGTTGATTAGAATATCAACTTGACCTATACCGAACGTAAGATTTTAATTTCAGCAATTTTAATTGTTACCAGTACAATATTTTTTAATAGTTTTTAAACATTGATACGATGATTTTCTAGTACATAATTCTTAAACTTTTTTTAAATTTTCTATATATGTATATGAATGTAATTACTAAAACTGTATAACATAATTAGTATATTTTTAAAACAAATGTTGTAAATTCTAAAATTGGGTTGATTACTTTTTAAACTGATTTTTTTTTTATCTTTAATGAAATATAAAAGTATATTTCTTGTATGATTAACGTATATTTCAATTTTTATAAGTATATATGTATTTAAAAATATGATGAAAACATAATGTATTAAATTTATAGTTTTGCAAAATTAAATTTTTTTTACAAGAAGAGAGTTAGTTTTATATTAAAAATTTTTATTATTTTTCATAATTTTTTTTTATTAAATTTTATTGCATTTAATTTATTTTCATATATTTGTTTCTTAAAATGTTGATAGATGGTACTCGTATAAAATTTTAATTGTTTAAATCGATTTATTTACAGCTTTTCGTTTATGTTAAAAAAATTTTTTAACTAATATATTAAACATAATTTTAAATAAATAATTAAAATTAAATATACCATTATGAATGGTTAAAATACTTTTCATAACATTACATTTATGCTATAGACATGTATACATAAAGTTAAGAATATGTTTTCAATTTTTTTATTAATTTTATTTACGCAACTTAAAAATTACATTTTAACCGAAATTTTTGTACAACCAGTATAATAGAAAAAACAAGATCAGGTTTATGTATATTATTTAAAATTAATGTATAAATATTTTGTAAAACGCTTGGTTTATAATTACTTTAATGATTGATTTCTGCTTATGTAATTATAATGGCCAAATTGTATTTATATAAAAATATATTATGTAAGTATAAAACTGTTGAATACGTCTGAGATTTTCATTCCTTTCATCACAATTTTATTCTCTTATTTTTTCCTTTTTTTTTTTTAAATCTATAAAATTTATTTGATCTACATATTTGTAATATATTCGATAATAAGGTAATAAAATATCAAATAATAGTAATGAGGTATGTATATACATATACATATATGTAAAAAATACATAATATTTATATATAAATAAATCTTTTATCAATGCAAAAATTTATTTAATAATTTTTATTTAAAATTGCTTGTTTACGTAATACATATGTGTAATAAGAATTTAATTATACATTATATACATTATTAATATGTATACCTATATGTATATATTTTGTATTCATTATGTTATAGAAATCCTTGTTAGGAATTATTTAATTTATATTACATTTTTTCAATGTACTTTTTATTTTGTTTAAATATAAAAATTATTAAAATAATAAGCAATATCTTTTGTGTATCAATTATCACATGTATGTATGTATATATTTTCTTAAAAAGAAGAAAATACCAACGATTTAGAAAAAGTTTTTAGATTTTTTATATGTATTTTTAAAAGATAAATTAACTGATGGATGTCAAGCAAATGAGAGGGTGTCAATAACGACTGACAGAAATAATGATTTTTTGGTTTATCAAGGTATCGATACAATGCCGTGGAAAATAAGGATCTGGAGCCCCAACCAATAATTTTCGACTATGTATGTATTTAAAACATAATCATACTGTTATAATTGAGTTGGTACATATAAATTTTTATGTCTTTTAGTCGACAAATTGGTTTTTTTTATGTCTATTACTTATTTATTATCTTTGCAAGAAATTTTTAATTTTAAATATTTAAATTATTTAAAGAAAATTTATTAATTGGGGTTGAATAAGTGATTGTAATCTAATTTCGGATTTTACAGTAGCACTTACACTAATGTTCGGTTGGGGGTACACATATTTCTGTTGTATTAAACAAATATGTACATATATAAAACAATAAACTTGAATTCTTTATTTATAGACTGGCCTCAAGGCAAAGGTATGGTATTCTTAAAGCTATAAAGAAAAACCCGAACTTGAAAGTTTTATAGAAAAATTAAGAAAAAAAAATTACTTTTATTTCATACTCTTCATGTAAAAATATATACATATACTAAATACAAACTATAAAAATATAAAAACAAAATCAATTCTTATATTCTAAGTACTTTGAACTTTTCTTTTTGGTGAAGGTGCCGATGGATTTCCACCTTTATAGAAATTTTTTAACAATTCCATTGCTTCGTCAGCACGAACTCCACCTTTCGTTGTAATATTTGCTTTCATAATTTTTGATACATCCAAAACAGTTGTACCGCCAAATCTATCATTTTTACATCCGTATATAATTTCCTTAACATTTAGGTTATATAAAGCAGCGGCACACATTATGCATGGCTCCACTGTAACTATAACACTTACTTTTTCAAAAAAATCCTTATAATCTAAATTATTTTTTTCACAAAATGCATATGCTTGATCAATACAAACGAATTCGGCGTGCCTTGTAGCATTTTTGGTAGCGTTCACCAAATTTCCGCCCCTAGCTATTATATTTAGTTCGTAAACAAAAACACAGCCCACAGGTACTTCACCATTAGATTGAGCTCTACAAGCTTCAAATAAAGCATTTTCCATAAAATTTTCCATAAAAAAGTTTGTAAAAAATAATCTTAAATACTACTATAATTTTTATATATGTAAGTAAGTTAGGTAAATTAATACGATTTTATTAGTTTTCGTTTTTTAAATATTTAATCAAATTATTTGATTCAAAAAAGATTTTCCCTTTTTCAGGCCAATTTGTGTTATTAATACTTCGAGGACTTGGATGCGGTAACAATAAAAATTGTATGCCAACGAATTCGTTAGACTTTGCTAATAATTTTAAAGTGTCATTAACATAACTTCCAATGGCTATTACAATTTGTGGTTGTAGCAATTTTATTTCTTCGCGAAGATATTTGAGACAAATATCACGTATATTAATTTTATCTTTACCCTATAAAATTAAAATGTGTGATAAGAACTTATTTCAATTTCGAAAAAATTTACTTGGTAGATGCCTACCAACTTACCTTTAGTTCACTAGGTGTAATATTTCTTCCTTGTTTATCAAAAAAAGCAAGTGGACAAAAATTATGAACAAAACATTTTTTAGAAAAATTTTCTAATCCCTCAGATAATTCATTTAAAAGATTCCAAAGTCTAAAATTACAACAAAATTTACGAAACATCGTTTTATAAAGTAAAATGCCTAACCGTTCTCCACTTGGTTCTTCAATTTTGCATGACAAGCCTGAGATTGGTCGTTTCGGATGTAATTTTATAGATGGCTTTTCTACTTCACCGCTTAATTTCATTAAATTACGAACTGTATTTATATTTCCAAAGGGGACCTAAAATAAAACAAAAACGAAATTATGCTAATTATTTAGCTCTTCCAACATATTACTCCAGTTTGCAGCATTCCATTTGGACCAGGATTCATACCAATCATTAGCACATCTTTTTTATTCTTAAGATATTTTTGCAAATAATTACAATGTACTTGTGCAGTATATTCCAAAGGATTGTATATATAATCTATTTTGGACTGATACTCATAATTTGCCAGTTCTTTATTTAAAGAAATTTCCAAATTATAAAATTTTCTCCAAACAGGCTCATCAAAAAACTTTGACGTTTCATCATCATTTTCCTTAACTAATTTGGTGGGGCTAACTGAATCAGTAGCCTTATCACCTAATGATTCAGGTAAATTCAATTTTTTTTTTAACATTTTGGAAAATGAAACAAATTCTTTGTAAGATCGAAGTTGTGTGGTATAGTTTAGTTTGCAACACTTTATCATAATCTGCTTACATTTTTTTTGTATCACAAAATAATAGGCATTCATTGATAATGTTCCATTTGTTTACAATTAAAAACTAAATAAAAATTTACTTAAGATAAGAAATCCTTCAACAAGAACTCATGAGACAAATGAACATGAAATAAAAAATAGTGACATGCGAATACATTACTTACAGCTCGTTATTTCCATACTCGTTACTTTTGGGCTTGGAGTAATGATTACAGGAAGAATAAGAATGTTCGTTACTCTGCACTCGTACAGTATCTGTCATATTTTCACGTAACGTTCAGTTCTACGTGAGTGGGTCGAGAGCTTTAGCGTAGTAATTTGGGGTTTTTAACATCAAACAAAAATTAAGACATCTGAATAAATTAATATTTGTTTAATAGATCTGTTTGTTTCATAAAATAAGATAAAAATCTATTTATCTATTTATAATTTTATAGAGATTTAATAAAATCTATATAAAATATCTGTTTAAAATTGATTTTAAATTCAATTTCGTTTATGAAAACAATTTTTTTTTTGGCAGATATACATACATATATGGCATTATTTGTTTTTGCAATTTTTTTAATTTTGATAACAAGAATATATGTATTAAAAATGGGTGGTAGGAAGTATTTTTATTTTAAATATTATTAATTCATATTTATTTTAATAATTATAAATTAAGCGGCGTACAAATTTTTTACATTTTTCAGCTTTGTAGAAACTTTTTTACAAGTTTACGGAATTATACTCAAAACAAATTTCAATAAACTTATATGCGCTTTTAAAACTTCGCGTTTATACTTCATGTTGAAAATGACAACCACTTTGGTTCAATCTATCAAAGTATATCTATTAATAAGTAGCAAAGTATATCCATAAAGAAGTAGTTTGACTCGTTCCATTCCGTTATTTTTCGTTTGCTTCTCACTTCCAAAATCATATTATTTTATTTTTCATTTCATAAAAGTTAGGTAAAAACATTCGAATGTATAAAAGTAATAGTTATAAATTTAAAATTTCTTACTTTGTTATACAGTACATACCTATTCAAGGTATTCAATATGATGTAGTAATTTGTAAGTACCCCTTCTATAGGCTGCTTCAAGCTTGTTATTGTCTATAAAAACTTTACTTAACCTGAAGCCGACTTCACTCAAGTCGCTTACTTGACTTGAAATGTTAATAATGATTTGAAATTTAATAGTTAAACGTCGTTGTAGGGTTTTAAGCTAACATAGTAAAAACACGGCTTGAGTTTCGAGCAGATTTCAAATCATATTGTATTGATTGATCATTACAATCTATGTATAAATCATTATATTTATACATAGATTGTATAAAAATTAAAATAAAAAGGTATACTGCTTAACTCTTTTAGTAAAGGGAATCTTTTGTATACAAATGTTAGTGAGTGATTGCATTAGTGTTATGTAAACGGACAGTCGAACTACTTCTTTATAGATATACTTTGATTTTAACATTCAAATTATAGTGTTGGCATTAGCATTTACGTGTTTGAACTGCTTAAGGGCGTAGTTTCTAAATTATACAAGCTTTTTCATATAGATATTTATAAATTATACATTATTTGAAAAAAATGCGAAAACCTACATAGTATGTATTTTAGTTCCTAAAACTTAAATAAAATTATCATCCAGTCATTAAAAATTTTTCACAAACTTTATTAAATTAACAAAAAAAATATTTCAAAGTCAAATTGTAAAACCGTTTTTTTTTATAGTTCAAATGTCAATTTAAAAGAAAGAAATTTCAAATACCATAGTCAAATTACAAAATACCTACGAAAAAATAAAATTTATATGTTTATATGTATGTTGCTATTAAAAATTTTATTTCCATCTACCGGAAAAAAATTGCGCAGGTACTCATTTGTTCCAGTTTTCGTAATTGCCTTCAATTTTGACTAGACGTGAGTAATTTGCATAATATGTAACTGAAACGCAAATATTAATTCATTTGGAATACTCAGAACATTCTGATTTATGTCAAAAAGAATATAAATTCAGAAGCACTTAATAACAAGTATTTGAAAGTACCTATACGGGTATTCATGAGTACCACCAAGTAACATGCAACAATGCAAGAATAATATGTAAACTCACTTTTACTACTTTTAGAATTGAAGCTTTCAAAGCTTTTGTCGCATCGTATTGGCATACTCAAAAAATTTGTTTTGCTTTCTAGTTGAAGCTTATAATTACTTCGTGACATCTAGTGATTTTTTTATGCAATCAAACCTCGGATTTTGATAATTAATAATAAGTTTAAATTTATTTAAACAAATTTTTCGAAAATATTATAACGTTTTATTGCTGGCAAACATCACTCCATATTAAAAAAATAAATCATATAGGCATATATGTAAAAGTTTGTTACACTTTCACACTACTCACTTGTGAAATCAAACAACAGGTGTCAAATAATTGATTTGTTAAAAAATAGTAAGGCTCTTAGTTTTATCTTCTAGGTCGAGTAGCCTCTGAGGCTACTTTTAAAAAACTTGACTGGAAAATAACTTAGTGTTTTTTTAAAAAAATCAAGGTAGGTACATATTATGTGTTAAAAATAATACAACTTATCAAAAAAATAAATTACAAAATACATTAACGAAACTAAACTTTTCTCGTGAAGGAATTTATTTTGAATATTTTTTAGTAGTGTATTTTTTATAAAGAACAGTAAAATAGAATATATACATTTTAGGGTTATTAGGAGTAAAAGTGATATAAAATTCTTAGTTGGCGCACAGTGGTAAATATTTTTTTGCTCTTACAGATACATACATATGTATTTACTTATGAAATGCTTTCTTTTCTGTTATAAATAAATTATTTTAAACCCAGAATGGATGCTGAATTTAGGTTTTGTACCTTGATAAACCACCAATTTTCTTTGAATTATTGTTGTTATGCTAATTAATAAGACAAATTGGTTCAAAAGATCTATCAAACTTAAAATTCAAATGACTTCAAGTTTACATGTTCTATAAATTGCATTTTTTTTAAATTCAACCGTATTAAGGAAGAGCAAATTTCGAAGATTTTTTAATTATTATTAATCATGTCAGTATTAACCAGCGAAAAAGAAATATTAAAGAAAGGAACATCTGTGCTACAATCGCACCTGTACTCCCTAAAAAACCGTATATTAAAAAAAAAATAGAGTGACTTCAGAAAAATCTCTTTTCCTTAATGGGCGTTGTCAAATTGCAATTGACATTTTAATGCCAATGTTTCCTTTTTTCGGGGAAAAGTAAGCAGAGTTGTCAGGGCCGCCTTAAGTGAAGATTTATCTTCAAAATAAGTGTTTTTTTATAATAGTTTTTTTGCAAAACTTTAAGATTTTTAAAAATCTTAAATCATATATCTTCAATATTAAGGTTTTTTATTGCTTTGAAGTTTTTGAGGAATTTTTTACACATTTTTCCATATACATATATTTTTCAAATTTCAAAAAGTTGACCACACTTATATGTGAAAATTATTTATTTTAATAATTGAAAGAAGTTTTCATTTAATAGTGATTTTGTTTGACTTGATTTTAATTTTGAAAAGAAAACATTCATTTTCATTTTGTTTTAAACTAAAATTATTTCGAATTATATATACTAGGAGCGGCTTTTTTTTCTAAGTAAAATTGCTTTCTGTATAATGAAATGTGTATATTCAAAATAGATACGTTTTTTAAAATAGTCATTAGAATATATTGATATATTTCTATTGATATACAATTCTATCTAGAATTAATATTACTCTATGTATATTAATATATCATTTCTAAGGAAACTGTAATTACGCAAAAAAAAGATCATTTGAAATATTTATTTCTATACTACATTTAATCAAACACAAACTCATTTTGCTTAAAAAAAATCTGGTAAAACTATGTGGTCCTGGTAAAACTATGTTATCCGAAACAATTTTAATTTAAAACAAAACAAAAACAAAAGTTTGCAAAATGAACAACTTAATGAAATTACAAATTATGAATTAATCATAATATTAATGAATAATAAACACTATTGAATAAATATTTCTTTTAATTATTGAAATGAATAATATGGTTTAAAAAAACTATTAGTTTTTGGAAATGAGGAAATAACAATTTACACCTTTTTCTTTTTTTTACTTGTTAAATTTTTTTTAGTTTTTATTAAATAATATTCTTTTTTTAACACTTATTATTAAATATTTTATGATTTTCTATTTACAAACTACACTTATTTTGTAAATAAAATAACAAAATCTTCTTTGTTTACTTTTTATGAAAGCGCGACGCACTTCATTTGGCATTTAATGTTGTTTTCAGTTTGACAATGCTTGGAGCAAAGAAAGAGACTTACCGCAAGTTTTTGGCTTCACTATATTTTTTTCAAGACACGATTTTTTAGGGAGTGTAAGTGAGATAGAAATAAGATGCTCCTTCCTTTAGTATCTCTAATTCGACTATACATATGAAAATGAGTTCTAAACGTAGTGAATACGTAAAATAAAAGTAAACTGGGTATCGAAAAAATCGAACACGGTTTTCTTATACATGTCACATAAATGTTGATGAAATAACCAATTAAATAAACTAGCAATTATTTTCAGCAATAAAGTGCTAGTTGTTAAGCTTTTTTCTTAAAATTTATGTTTTTAATAATGTGGTAACGTTTGTTGAAAATTAACATTTTTTGCTATCTGTAATTTATTATTCTAGTTTGTAAGTTTCCATATATATTTTGTATTTAATCGTTTTTATACCCTGTACTTCGTGAAGGGTATATTAACTTGGGTACAGAGTTTGTAACTACTTGAAGGAGTTATATGCGGTACATATATACAGGGTGATTCAGAAAGGTATACAACAACATATACCATTGGTTAGAGGGTCGAAAACTTTTGTTCCGGAGTAGGTGCGAAATCTCAAGGATTTTCGAGATACAGGGATTTTCATGAATTTTCACGAAATTTCTAGTTATCTAAGCTTTTTTGATTATAGCTTCCGTTCCGAAAAAGGGGCTTCAAGCAAGCAATTCGTGAAAGGTCTAGTAGAAAAGTTTTTCGTGCTATATCTTCTGTACCATAAACTCAAAAACGAATAATGCTATCGACACCAAATTTTCACAAGTTGTTTTTTTT